GTTTTGTTTCATTTGCACATGTTTGAGTGCCACTTTCTGCTCTGTTCCACCTTGTGATGTCATGAAGTGGTTGCTTTAAAGGTCCATTGTGTAACTTTTCTAATGGAGGATCCGTCAAATGTTTTCCTTCATGGAGATGTTATTGCTCTGGAATGTTTCACAGTATCATATTAAACCTTTGTATCTTCATGGTGACCAAACCAGGCCAAGTTACAAGTCACATCTGTGGAGAGGCACCCCCATTAACAGTTAAAAAAAAATAAAAAAAAAATTAAAGAAAGAAAGTATTTTTGAGCTATGAAACACTTGTAATTGAATAAATTTAAGGTAGAGTTGTTTAAAGTCACACTGTGGAACATTCCAGGCAGAGCAATGGCATATCCATAGAAACAATCAGCTAACGAAGCCCTTTAAAGTTAATCACTATGTGTTTTACCTTTAGTTCAGTAGAGATCGACAATTACAAGTGACTCTAGTGATGGTTTCTGGAGTTTAAAAACACAGTGGAACACTTTCTGTATTACCACATGACATCACAAGGTGGAACAGAGTGTTTGGGAAAATAACACAGCCTATATATGCAGGATTTGTTTTTAATCATGTGTGGATGAAACAAAACACAACTCCAGGTACATTTGTGATGAAGAAACATAATTATAACGTAGATCAAAAATGGTGTAATACGGGATCTTTAAAATGCTTGGTTTTGATTCCTAGAACATTGGAAATATTCTTCTCTAAGTTTTATGTTTTTCCTCTAAAAAGTTTGCCATCTTCAACTGCAAACTGCATCTTTTATGTCGGCGTACCTCAGCAGAGCCTTGTGAGTGGAGTTTGGCCAAATATATCTGTGCACTATAGTTCATTTAGGAGACAGCTGTATTAAGCAGTCCGCCTTGAGAATACGACTCCTGACTTGAAAATTGCCTCAGCTATGGAGAAAAAAATCTATATATTTTTCCACCCTGGTATGTAGGACTGTTTAAAGCATAATACGTGGCAGTGCTTTAAGAATCATTTAGAATTGACTCTTCGCTGAAATACAGAGGAGTTTTTTGGAATTGTGTCAAGATGGCTGTTTGTGGGAGTACAAAAAAGTTTATTTTAATGCTTGCAGGTTGCTCCTATGCGTCTTAGAGAAAATAACACTTTTGATAGTCACAGATTTGCTTTGACTTTGTACTTAAAGGAACTATATTACACAAAATGTACTCTTGTGAGCTTTAAGCCATGTTATAATGTTGTTAACAGCATTATTAGTCTGTCCACCTTGTGATGCATGTAGTGGTAGTTTTCAAGTTCAGCAGAGATTGGTAGTTCCAGAGCTTTTTATTTATGTCTATTTATATTTAGGACCTGTTTACACAACAACACTGGCAGGTAAAAATGACAAAATATTTTATTGGAAGTGCCTTTAATTTAGACGGTGATGGTGTTTTGGGGGCTTAGAAATGCAGAAATCTGAAACCGCCCTCCAGAGTGGAAAAGTTGAATATGCTCCGCTGTAGCGTTTCCATCTACACTGCCCAAGACTAATAATAAACTCTGGTCATATCTGCTCACGTCGCGTATACGTTTATGTCACATACATCACCACCTAGCCTCGCCACTGAGCCGTCTGACATGCATACCCACCCATATCGAATTCCACACATTTTTGCATCACCATATGTGCGCAGATTTCCTCCCCAAAACACTTGTCTAAACACAGAATAAAAAGTGAACATATTACACCACCTTTGCGTCTGTTCAGACCATCATCATATAAACATAGCCTTACTGTATTTTTTCAGAGTCAAAACATGTACTATTGTGTATACGTTCAGAAAACACACTACAGTATTATTACATTTTATTTTATGCAATAATACACTGCAAAAAACTAAATCTAGCCAAGTTAAAATGACTTGAATTAAGAAAGTTTTATCATGATTTGAGTAAATTTCACTTGACAAGTAGAACCAGACTTTTTGTACTGTAAATATGAAAATACAACTTGCTACACTTAAGATAAGAAAAACAACAACTTTTTGCATTTAAATTAAGAAACAAAATCTGATGTTGCTTAAATTAAGAAAAACACACTTATTCCATTGGTAGATTTTACTTGTCAAGTTGAATCTACTCAAATGAAATCAAATGTTCTTAATTTAAGTCATTTAAATTTAAGTATTTTCATTTTTTTATTTTTATTTTTTCAAATGTATGCAAATACACCAGCCATATTGCTAGTGTGCAACATCCACTCAATCATTTTATTTACATTAGAAACATGCACATTGAACTCTCATAAACATAAGCATTTTTATTGTGTTTTTTTTTCTAAACACATAAAAAAAAAAAAAAAAAAAAAAAATGACAAAAACAAAAACAAAAATGATGACAAAGATTGTATGACTTCATAAATGTTTGCTGAAATGACTGAAGTGACTCATTTTATTTAAACAGTTACATTTAAGGTTTTTACTACAAATTTAAAGTTTTTTGCCCATTATGACCATTTTTAAGATTTTTGATTTTATGTCCTATTTGGAAATTATGACACTATACCAGAGAATTCCACAACTGTATCCTAGCAAGAAATTATAATTTGTCAAATAGGATTAAAAGATGACACCTTTATGTCATTGAAATAATATTTAAAGTATCATAAAAAATGTGTTTGTTGCATAAATTGCGCCGAGTTTTTAGACAGAGTTCCCCCAGTGTGATCAAAGTACAACCTGTAATTTTCAACACATTTTTCAGCTTTTCTTCACAAATTGGTTCTTGATTTGTGTAAAACTATAATTTATATTTACACCAGCTATTCTCACCAAATTAAGTCAAAATTAGAGAATCATCAAAACTGCCTGTAGAATCTGCTTACATCTCATCACTTTGTGAAGACATGCATCGTCATTAACACACCAAACATGGAGTTGTGTGGAGGAGATGCTGTGTCGACATAGTTTGTTCGACTGTAAAAATAAGTTGGCTTTTGAAATGCTTCTAACATTAGTTCCACTGTTTATCACTGTAGTTTGGAGGCGATGTTCTGACCCACTTTTAAGACTTTTCAGAGCACATGTGGATTTTGGGTAAAAGGAAAAGCGGGAATGCGGTGAGGAGCAGTGGAGGATGTTACAGAGAGTTGGGCTATGCAAGTATAGGCGGGTTTTATTAAAGAGGGATGTGCTGTGTTTGTTCTGACAGCGTGCTGTGTTGAATAAATATATAATTAGTGTAATAAAATAGGTTGGTAGAAATGCACGGAAATGTACTGAAATGAGAGCTCCACTGCTGGAAAAAGACTTTTCTCAAGTAGAAATTTTGGTTTTGACATACCGTATTTTTCGGACAATAAGTCACACTTTTATAGTTTGGGTGGTTCTGTGACTCATACTCTGGTGCGACTTATATATTAAATATTAAAATTTTCATGCTGACAGCTGTGACAGGGCGCTCTAGGCTTCTGTGCCAGTATCTGCTACTCACTTCGCAGAAAGAGCCACTATCCTGTCTGGGAATCATGTCAGTCGATCGCACCATTACTTCTGTACCAGTTTCAACAAACTTATTAAGACAGCTGAGAAGACTGAACACAAATGCCCAAAAAAGAAAATCATATTTTGCAGATTACAAGTTGCAAGTAGTGAAATATGCAGCCGAAAATGGTAATCGAGCAGCAGAAAGAAAGTTTGGAGTGAGAGAGAAACTTGTGACAACCATGAGGGTCATATGTGACGTTAACAGTCTGTTGTTCTCTACAGTATTCTGTTGGTATTACTATAACTTGCCTTTCAAAATGAAATATCGGTTTCTGGCCTCTGATTTTATTAAATACATTTCCCCAAAAAAGTGCGACATTTTTACATTACAGTTTTTTGGCTGGTGTGACTTCGGAACGACTTTTAGTTCGAAAAATACGGTAATGTGTTGCAACCACAAGTTTCCTGATGAATCCTGCCATTGTGTCCTTGGGCAAGACACTTAACCTGCTACTTGCACTGGTGTGTGAATGTGAGTTTGAGTGGTTCCTTAATGTAAAGCACTTTATTCTTCTTGAAGCTGGAGAATTTGTGAATAAATGTGACAATTAATTTAAATATTTGTTAACTTTTCTGGTGCTGCGTGTTTCTGTGTGTGTTGTGTGTGTGTGTGTGTGTGTGTTGTGTTTTTGCTGTATGTGCCAAACGAGCTCTGTGTGCATGGGGTGTGCAAAAATACTGAACTATCGATATATTGTATCATTTAATGTGATGATGCAGTATCAATATCGTGGGCTGCTGTATCGATCTGTCACCAAGAGTATTTTTAGGTATATTTTACTAATAATTATGTTACAGAGCTACAGTTTTGTTGCTTGTTCAGAAGAAAGAAACTCATTTATGCGACACATTTGACATTTTCACTATTTTGATGATTAAAATGGGCATTTTTTTGTATTAACTTTGCACAGGAAATGGTTTAACAAAGACTTTTAGTATCACAGCCATGATTTAGCCTTTATTTTTTATTAAACTGTACTGAATCGATTTGAAATATATCATATTGTGTTGAAAGTGCACTGTATCGAGGTATGTATCGTATCGGCAACTTCTTAATGATACCCAGCCCTAAAGGGTACACAATGCATTTTTAAAACAGAAAAAAAAGTGTTGTTTCCTCATGGTTGAAGTGAAAATTGCATTTCCTTAAATTCTGTATTGTTTGTAAATTAACAGTTTATGCATGGCTATTTTCTTCTATTTGTTAGAAGTCCATAAACTATTATAAGGAAGATTGTGCCCATGACCAGATGCTCTACAGTGACCCTTTAAACAAGATATCCACTGTCCATTGACACCCTTCATTTCTTCAGACTCCTCCGGCAGCAGACAGTTTTCTCCTGGGAGTCTATTGTGGCCGCATTTACATCTGCCCTTTTCTAATCACAATGGCATTTCTCAGGCGCTGTCAGAAAAATGTCTCACTCTCTTTGTGAAATCCTAATGCTTTTGTCGTATCTTCTCACACAGTCCCACCCAAAATCATCAACCTGTCCAAAGACCTGGTGGTGAACGAGGGCTCCAACGTGACTCTGGTGTGTCAGGCCAGCGGGAAGCCAGAGCCCTCCATCAGCTGGAAGCTCATCTCCTCCTCAGGTATCTCCACACATCTAGGCCTGTCATGATAACACATTTTGAAGTTATTGCTGAAGTAAATATGGACGATAAACAATAATATTCAAACTAATTAATGTAACTGGCACAAAAACCCAAGAGCAGATTTAGACCACACAAACTATTATGTGGTCACAGTATATTATTTAACACCGATGGGGGGGCAACCAGGCGTGTAGTGAGATATAAAAAACTAGAAAAGCACTCAGAGAGCGCAGACCTCCGCCAAGGACTACCCCCATTTTTTATATAAATTGCGATAAAATCAGTCTTCTGGATCAGATCCGGATCAGCCTTTGGAATATGAAAGAGGATCCCATTGTCCATCCCTGAGTCAAATTTCATGGGGTTTGGTCAATAATTAACCGAGATATTGAGAAACAAAATGTTTGGCCCCATTTACCACAATGTTAACTAAAATTTCAAAGTGATCCAGAATCCAGGATTTCTTCCGGATCACCCCCAAAATGAAATCAGTTCTTCCTTTTCACATTTCCAACAAATCCTGAAAATTTCATCAAAATCGGTCCATAACTTTTTGAGTTATGTTGCTAACAGACAAACAAACAAACAAACAAACAAACAGACAAACGCCGGCAAAAACATAACCTCCTTGGCAGAGGTAATAACAGATATAAAATAACCTACAACTTAAATGTCAAACCGGAGCTACTGGCAGTGGTGAAAACAACCTGCATAGGCTCATGATATCTGCACTACTGTCCTATAGTGAAATGAAGGGACCGGGACTGAACCAGGACTGATCCAGGAGGACTAAACCAGGACTAAACCGGGACTAAACCAGAACTGAACTAGGACTGAATGTTGGGACGGGCCCAGAGGTGCACTTGCGTAGACCGTCGGGTGACTGCAGGCGAAAAAGGACCATCGCAGAGCTCTGGTCTCCCAAGGGGGATCGTGCTTTGCAGACACCCTGCTCCACGGGCTTGTGGTTCTCCCTCTTACTCTCAAGATTAGTCCTGATTTAGTCCTGGTTTAGTCTTTGTTCAGTCTTGTTTTAGTCGTTCTGGTTCAGTCCTGTTTTAGTCCTGTTTCAGTCCTCCTGCTTTCGTACTGGTTCATGTGTTGTAGCCTATGATTTATGTTCTGTCGGTGATTATGAATGGCATTAAATAAATGTATGAGTAAAAATGTCCTGGCGCCTTTATGTTTGTACTGAAAAGTGAGGGGGCCAACTCAAATTAAAATTCTTATAATGCAAAATCATGTTGTAATACAGTGAGTTATAGGGTTTAGTCAAAAATTTTAAATACCAGGTTCGACATTTGTGAGTTTACGTTTTGAATATTTCATGGCAAGTACAATGTGATTAATCAGGGAAATCTTTAAGAGTATGATGTCATTACATTGTAGAATCTTAAAAAACGGCAATTAACTCTACCTTCTATGCCATAAATCTTACCATATAGCCCAAAAATAATCAAAAACTCCCTAGTAGTGCAAATAAAATGTACATTTGATAAATACTGACCCCAAAAATAGATTGTTCCATCCTTCATATATTGAACGATATGTTGATATAGTAATTATGGTGACAGGCCTACACACATCTTTGCCTTCTCGCATGCATGTGTCCCAGAAATGCATAGGACTTTTCAAAGATAGTTCAGGAATTGAGTTTGTTGTGCACTTGTTTGAGAGTAAAGCTGGGCTATAATGTTGAGATAATGAGACTTTAATATAAGCCCTTTTGGGTTTTTTCCTCTTCCTGCACCTACTTTTTTATCCTGTGCCCTTTTTTTATTGTTATATGTTATATTGTTATATGTTATATACATAAAAAAAAAGTTGGAGATATTTGTTAGTTGGGTAACTTTGTGATTACAGGAGCCTTTATTACCTTTAACAACTGACAAGATTGAATTTAGATTCAGAAGCCTTTGTAACTTAGAGATCCATATATGGTGTGGTGGCATAGTGCTATAGTGCTTATCGTTCATGCTTCACAACAAGAAGGTCTCTGGTTTGGCTGCCAAATCAAATCTGACCTTTCTATATGGAGTCTGCAAAGCTTAAAAGAAATAGCTTGACATGCATATGAAATATGACACTTTTCTGGTGAGAGGTCTACATATTATTATTTTGTTATTATTGCTTTGCCTGTTCCATATTATGGCATTAAACACACTTATACTGCACGTTATTGCTCAAAAATATCTGGAAACAATACTTATGGTGATCTGTCTTTAGATCTGAGTTGTAATGTTTTCCAGACAAAGCAGTAACATCACCATTTCCATCAAATAAAGATTACTTACTTAAAGGTGCACTCCATAACATTTCTAATGGAGGGTCCGTCACTTGTTTGTTTCCATTGAAATGTTATTACTTTGTCTAGAATGTTCCATAGTAGAGATTAAACCACACAAGAGAGACAAGCAGGTTACAGCACTATCCTGCATTACAATTCAGATCTGTGGAGAGTCACCTCTATTTACAGAAGGAATTACTCCATCTTTGAGCAACAGAAACACCCTTAATGAATAAATGCTAGATTCATATGTTTAATGTCATACCATGGAACATTCCAGGCAAAGCAATAGCATCTCCATGGAGACAAGTAGGTAGTGAACCCCCGACCAGAACAGTTACACAATGCACCTTTAAAAAACAGAAACAAAATAATGTGTATGGCTTTTATGACGAGCAGCTGCCTCTCTGTCTAATGGATGGCCTCTTGTGGCGCTTCATATAACATTTATCATGACATTGTCCTTGTATTGTTTATGTTTTCGTCTCTTTCCTGTCTGCTCCTCCGTGTCCCCTCCTCTCACCTCTGTCCCTATCTCTCCGTCTCTGACTTTGTACGACCCAGTGGATTTGCCGCTCCGCTTACTGCCCATCGCCGACCGTCATTAGCGCTTAATTGTTCGCAGGCAAATAAACCGGCCCTGTTGTAATTGCACTAATTAATTAGGATAATTGGATGGATTTAAATGTTGCGAAGGGTCTTTTGAATGACAGGATTATGCCGGGAACATTAGCATATAGCATAGACGCACTCTACGAGAGGACGGGTGTTAGCGGCTTTGTTTAGCATGTTTATATCCATTATGAGCTGCAGAGAAAACAGCAATTTCTGATACTATTTCTGCTCCCTGAATGTGTCAGCGTAATCAGTCAACACTGGTAATACATTAACATTTAAAAAGCGCTTTTCTTGGAGCACTCCTTTGTGCTAAAGCTGTGTGGGAATTGAAATGTTAATATGAGACAAGTGCAGCTGACCTGTCTGCGCAGATAAGCAGGCATGGGACACAGACTGGATTCTTTCTTCACCATAATTACTACAGTATATCAGCTCATTCTCTATAGGAAAACTGAAACAATATGTATTTGGGGCTCAATATTTATTTAGTGTGCAATTACCTTCAATCTTGTTGGATAGTTTGTAATTTTGTTTTGCAATTTTGTTGACTCCAATAGGATTACTTTATTGTTAAAAATCCCATCAGATCTCAAAAGCTAAGCAGAGCCAGGCCTGCTTAGGACTTGGATGGGAGAAAAACAGGTGTCACAGGGGGACGCAAGTAGCAAAAACTGCTGCTTTGTCCTTAGGCAAGATGTTGTTAAAGGGTCTGATGGTGCAAATTGGCAGCTTCACTTCCATGCGTCTGTCCCAGGGCAGCTGTGGCTACAAAAGTGAATGATGAATAATGCACAAAATTGTAAAGCAGTCACTCATTATACAAACTAATGGTAAAGTGTTATTCTGCTGTTTTTCTTTTGCACCTGGTATTTAGTATATGGTATTTTTTTTAAACAATATTATACATTTTTAAATCAATTAGTTTCAGCAGGGGTGGGCAAACTTTTTGACTCGTGGGCCACAAAGGGTTCTAAAATTTGGAAGGGCCAGACCAGGAGCAGATGGATGGAATTCATTGAAAATTTTTATAATTATTAATATTATTATTATTATTGAAGTTCAGCGAACCGGATTAAAAAGATTAAAGGGCCGCATATGGCCCTCGGGCTGTAGTTTGCCCACCCCTGGTTTCAGTATTATCAGTCTATATTTCCTTAAGCAATATATCATACTTCAAAATTTGTTATCGTAACAGGCCTAATGTTACATCCTTTTGCATACAGTTGCCATCGCAGCTGTTTATTACATATGAGGTGTGTGCTGGTCGATGTCTCTGTTGTTTTTGTAAAGATGAACAGCAGCAGAGTGAGAATAAGAGTCACAGGTGTGTGGAGTCTGTGATAGAAAAGTATCCCGGAGGTTCTGGTATCTTTTCGAGCGCGATGTTGTCATTGTGTGATTGTGGACTCCAGAGACGCTCTCCCCATCAGGGTCACTTTTATCAGTAATAGAATAGAAAGGTTTTACACAGAGGCTGGACAAACAATGTTACCGTAACCAAGGCAAGGATCAACTCCTATCAGGGGTAAAACAGCGTAATACGGGCCGTTTTAGTGTAAAGTTTGATGTTCCTACAAGATATATTAACTAATAGACCAATAATACTACAGCATTGAAGGAAACATGTCTTGGGGGTTTTGAAAAGTTGTGATTGCTCAAAGACTTGAGCTGAACAGATTCTGGCTGAGTAGCTGCAGGTAGTTTGTATTGATTCTCTAGTGGTCCATCTGGAGTGTGAGTGTTGCTTTAGGAGATGGCTCGATTGGTTTTACATTGGCCTCTTTGGAGCGTGGAAGAGCTGAGTCCAACCACAAATCTCATTCAGTTTCAATAGATATTTGTTCTGCCACAGGCTAAGGATTAAAGCAAACTTCCAGGTCAAAGACACTGTTGGAACAAATGGACCCGAGTCACATTTAGTGCCAAATTGTGTTTGATAGGCTGTATTTAAGAAAGAAAAAAATGTCTATAATGTTTAAAATGTTATGCTCAATCATTTAAAAGTGCATTATCCTAACTTTTCGAGTCAAGAGTCTGCCGCGTGCTCGTCACTGTGGAGATATTTTTTGCTTTGTTTACAATACCACAAGCA